GGCCAGGCTGGACGTGGCCTTGGGCAACCTGGTCTAGTGGGAGGGGTCCCTGCCCATGGCAGGGAGGGTGGAACTCAATGATCTTCAAGGTTCTTTCCAACCTAAACCATTCTATGATTCTATGACAAGATTTAACATACCTGATTACACTTCAGCAGAGCTCGTCTTGTTAAACCCCTTAGTTCTGGAACCATGACAACTTTAAGGAGTGTATAATGTGGACAACACTGATTTGAATGTCTCTTACCTGTAAGTGAATCACTGAGGTATATCTTGTATCTCAAAGAATTACACAGCTGCACACCTACAAACTTCTTATACCAAGTCCTCTTTACGTATTGTTTCCCTTTGCATTCTGAATAGGTGTCTGAATTGAATGGGATTTCAGTCCAGATAGCATCCTTTCCCACTGCAGGAGATGAAGAAAGAGGCTGAAGTATGATGCTGCATATGAAATTATGTACAACACATATATACAAATAAATAGAATTAGAAACCTTGATGGAGCAGAATGCACCATGGCGCCAGTGACCTGCATTTTGAATGTGAAAGATGTTTCAGGGAAGCACCAAAGGGTGCAGATGTGATTGATGCAGTGAACTGCTTCTGCTCTCTGTGTGTGGTGCCAGTTTGGAATAAGCTCATTCTAGGACCTCATCAGGGGAACAATGTCTGTGTGTTGGCAAAACTCTCATTTACAAAGTGTGTGATACAGTCACTGTTTTTCAGTGGGTTCAGGCAAGGACAATCAACTTGCAGCAAACCGTATGTGATTTAACAAAAATACACATAAAAATTAAGTGTACTGGATCATGTGGAAAGAAACGGTGCCTCAGTGTTTGTCAAAGTGATGTCCCTTACAAATGCAAAAGCAGCCCAATTTGCTTGTGCGATCTCAGCTGTTCTTCAAAAGCTCAGTCCACCTCCCACCGAAGACAGCAAGAATCTTGTAAGTGGCCTAAAGCAGAGCTGGATCAAGCTTTCAGAAGCAGAACATTTTTCTAAAACACAATGGCGGATAAATAGTACCCTCTGAGTTGTGCTCTGTTAACTCACTTAAAAAGTGTGGAGTAGCTTATTCGTTTTACAGAGCTTTCTTTTGCTTTAATGACAGGGCTGAGAAAATATGAGGCTGTCCTTGGCTCATTTGTGTACATTGGTTTGACGCCATCCCAGCTGCCATGCGAGCACCACATCACGTTGATTGCGTTCTGCTCAGGTAAATAAGCAGCCTGGCATGAATTCCTTACCAGGCGTATGGGTGGAAGGAGTGAAATCATGTGTGAATGCTGTTTGATTCCATAACTCATTTAACTGGTGCAGTAAACCCGCCCTCGTAAAATTATGCTATCTCATTTCTGAAAAAATTCCTGATCAGAAGACACTATACTGTACATAAAAGGCTTACTTGAAATTGGCTCGCTCACTCTTGGGTCCGCTGGGGGAAGAAAACAAACATAGAATCAGACACTGTAAAATGACCTTTCCCAATATTTCAATGGAAAAGCATCAGTAAGTGATTTTCTACAGTTGACATAAGCTGTAATTTGTGAAACACAAGGAGTTGTGGAAGCAAAGTTTACTTTTGCATTAAATTAAATTAAAAGAAATATAGTTCTGATGTGAAAGTACAGTATCAATGAGTTTTTAAAAATTGTACTTATGGGACAATAGCAGTCAAATACAGTTCTAGTAAAACCAAGAGTTTAAACTGGTAACCAGCAAAAACCAATTCTACTGCATCTTTTTTAAAATCTCAGTTTCAAAACTTAAATAATAAAAAGGACCCCTCTGTAATACTTACCACACAAAACTTGGCTATGAAAGCCCAAAAGCAAGAAATGGATGTGTGCAATTAAGAAAAAATAAAACTGACTGCTTAATTTGTCCAAGCTAAACAGAAGACAGAACATAAGCCTTGTCATTCATGAAAACTGCACTTGGCATAAACATTTCTTTCAGTGTTAACAATCTAGGATTACAAAGAGTGTATTCACAGTTTTTAAAGATGTGTGGCATAGTCTGAACTCCTCCCTGACTAATCCCTTGCTCAGCCAAAACTCTCATCCATCAGTGACAGCACTAGATGAGGACTATTATATTATACCTGGCTCAAAACACAAATTGAGAAAGTCCTTTTAAAAAGGCTAAATCCATTTTGTGTTTCATATGGTCCTTAAGTACTATCAAGCAATAAACACTTCTACACAAAAGATGGTATCTTGCTTGTATAAAGTCAACAAGTCAACTGTAGTTAGCCTCATGGGGAACTGGAATAGGGAAAGCAAAGGCACTCTCCAATTCTCACCTCCGAGTCAGCTAGGACCTAACTTGGGAACCAACCCAAGGTCAAAATAGGCTTGTATACACCTCTCTAACAGTTTCACAGGAGAGTAAACAGGATGGAAGAGTACGTACTGGGACACTGACTTTTGCCAGCTGCTATTTCTCACTCCTTATTCCAGCCAAAAGACATCACTATCATACAGCAGCGTTATTGAACAGGTAGCAAAAGTGCCTAGTAAACACACCAGCCCAAAGAAAAACCTTATGTTCCCCACCCAGAAGTCATTAATAAGTTTGATAGATACAAAAAGGTCAGGAATATTAATCTTAAATGACTGAGCCTTCTCTAGGGATAAAATTAATTTCTTCATCATGAACACTAGACAGTGTGCTCCTGTTTTTTTCTACTTCAGTCTGGCCATCTTACATCCTCACACAACATAGCCCTGATCTCAGGCTGACCTTCCAGGCACTACCATAACAGGGTCAGTAGTAAAAAGCCGATCTGGAGACAGTAAAAAGCAAGACCAAACGTGCAAAATGACGCAAGAGAGCCTTTCGTATATCCTGCAAACGTGGATACTAGAGCCACTGTTGGACCTTCGTAAGTTCTTACCTGATTCAGTACTGAATGCCACAACATTGCTGCTTGGACCTTCCCCAAGAGGGTTTCTAGGTTTCACATGGAATTCATAACTGTGGAATAAAATAGAAGAGATGAGAATTTTGCAAACCAAGCATTCTTTCAGAATCTGGAGCAAACAAACTGCCAACACACACCTTGGTGCTACTCGCCTCCTGGAAAAGGACAAAAGGGCCTCATTTCTTGCTCTGAAAATGCTGAAACATTCTTTGTCCTAACTGTATAAGGCCTCTCTGAACACATAATTTACCAGTCCTTTTGATAATTCTTTGCAGACATACTAAAATGTTTGATTGAATGCACCACTGGTTCAAGTCTGTTTCCTTTCACACATGCAGTTTCGGTTCTGGCAAAGGGCGTAGTGAGTAAAACACACTGCTATTTATTTGCACATTTTTCATTCATAGGAAGACAAACCTCCACTTCAATGCATCTCAGACCCGCCAACAGTGACAGACAAAGCCAGTAGCATGTCTTCCAGGACAGGAGCTCAGGCAAGGCAAAGATCCAATTGCTTGAATATATGTTAATAGTAAATATATGAAGTAATGAAAAGATATTGTACAGCGTCTCTTTCTTATCTTTTCATAGTAATGTTGCACAACACCAGTCTGTACTGTAGTTATCTCATGACATCTTTTCATCACAGATGTGTTGGAAACCAAACTGTGCTATGGAAATGGAACAAGATGGAAAAAAATAATCCAAGCCAGGCTCCTCTGCTTCTTTCCCGCTCCTCAATACTTGATTCATAGTGATGGATAGGCAAGAGAAGGTGGTTTCTAACTCTGCAGTTCAGCAGAAACTTACACTTTCAAGCTCTAGGTAAACAGTTATTGAAAGACATCTGCAAACCTAAAAATGTTACACAGAAGACACTGGGCAGATGAGGCAGGAGAGAGAGTTACAAGGGTGGACACTGAACACAACTTAAGATCTCACATCAAGAGCAGAGAGACGAACAGACTCTGTATTTCCTTCCTCCCAGCACACACTATCCCAGCAAGCCGCTTCTCAGCTCTCCTGGATCCAGGCTGGCAGCACCTGGGAATTCCTCACTGCTCAGCAATGGCTCAGTGCCTCCCTGTAGGACCCGCATGCCCTCCATGCCAAGCAGCATGCATACACCCAGTCAACAGCACCTCTTCATGCCCTCCCCATGAGCTATAAGCAATAATCTGTCCCACGCATGCCACCCACAGAGAGACTTTTCATACGCTTTGAGCGCATCAGTGGTGAATCTCTCAACACAGAGCATTTTTCATGAGCGAGAGAGATCCATAGGACGTGAGTCAAAAGGACTGTAGGTCTGGAAAATGGGCTCTAACTTAGAGACTAAACACAGAGCAAAATGAGAATCCCAGAAGTGAGCAATTAAACATCCAGCTCTTGACTCGTGAAGGATCACTTACCAATGATAACTTGGTAGCTCATGACTATAACATAGCATTGTAATGTATTGCTGAAATTGTTTCCAAACAGCAATTTTCTAAAGAAAAAAAAACAAACATACCACCCTCTGCACAGTTGGAAATTTGTAAACTCCATTTGCAAGTCCCTACAAGAGACAGAATAATTCAATCCAAACTTTGGATTACCTCTTATTGCTTCTTGGCTCCTGCAAAACCTGAACAGCTCACTAATTAACCTCTGTGGACTAATCATGCAGTACCAAGCAACTCTTTTCCATCCACAGTACTTCTAAGACAATATTTAACTTTGAAATTGCTTACTTAAGCAATTCCCTTTATTTCTAGGGTTTTCTTTTCTTTTTTAAGGGAAATACTTACAAAGACTGGTATGCTGAACAGATGCATTGTGGATAATTTGTGAATATTTCTAAGTGAAACATGGGCTTGTTTTGAGCTTTAAAAAGTCTGTTTGGATTAATCTTAATATTTATTCCAACATGCTGCAAGACCATTTTGAGAAACTCATAGTACCCTACTGTAGGAGGGAGACATTAAATAAATATTAAATTAAATAATAAGTACTAGACACAAACTTCTTCACAATCAACTTCAAATTGCTTAAACAAATACATACTTTTAAAAATGGGCATGTGTTACAGTAACTTTTTTGGTCAAGAAGTATTCTCATCTGGTAGGAAAGGTCATTATCCAGAGAACTGCAGCAGAGTAGTTGGAGACCCCTTCTGAAGAATCACTGAAGCATAAATGAAGATTTGCTAATACGTTGGGTGTTTTAAAGTAATAGGTAGAAGATACATTTTGGACAATGTAAAAATTAATGCACGCCTAGAGGTAGAAGACTCCAAAGAAGTTTTCCTGCTTCCTTCACAGCAGCAACACCTTATCTAGAGCTATTATTGTAATCCTGATCATTGATAGCTCAACATGGCATGATCTATTGCTTTACTGGGAGTTTATGGTTTGACCTTATGCATGATAATAATCCATTTATGTCCCTTTGTATGAAATCAAAAGAGAAACATGAAGAGCACTGCCTAGGAATCCTGACCTAAAGTTTTGTGATTCCATAGGCTTGCCTACAACGAAAGGACAAAAACTGAGCAGGTGAAATGCTCTTGCAGAACTGGACTGGGCAGCTGCAGGGACTCAGAAGCTAATGACGCAGGCAAGCGTGAACTAAAGATGAAGATCTACAGTCAGCATTATCTGGATCTGACCTGCATACATAAGGGTTTCACAGATTTTGCAAGCTGGATTTACATGCCTCTGTCAGGCAGAAAATCATAAGCTGGACAAGACGGTGGAGGATTTTGGAATAAATCTAAGTATTTTGCTGATTTTTGTACAAATATATTGTCCTCAAGAGCTGATATGCCCTACTTTGAGTTGCATCAGGCAACACTTCATAGGAAACAGTCCTGTTCCCAAAAAACTTAAGTCAATGAACTTGGACCCATCAATTCTCTAACTCCATAAAAAGACCAGCACAAGAACTGAAGACTAAATATTTTCCAAGTAGTGTTTTTCAAATTGGGGTCTAGGGACCACTAGGATCTCTGCAAAAGGTCAAACCACAGTTAGGAAAATTACAGCAAGATTGAAATAAAGAAGTAAACTTTATACACAGAGATTTCAGCTCATACAAACATATAAAAAAACCTGGAGAAAAGGAAAGAAATAAAGAAGTGTCCAAAGTTTAGCTTAGTCAAATACGGGAGCTTCCTATTAATAATGTTAAAGAGCAAATTTTTAAAATTAAAATATATACAATTCTACTTTTTTGTGTAGAAAGGGTACGTACTGCCATCTGTTTTGCTTCTATACAAACCACAAGAGAGGTGAAAAAATCCTTAGAAGTTCAAGAAAGTACGTAGGGCACAGTTAATAAAGGGAAATAGGAAAGCTATGTAGTTATTATCTCATGTCTACCTCTTCGCTAGATTTATTCATGAGAAACTGGAGCCTATATTCCATCTTTAGATCTCTGTGCCTATGATGCCAAAAACTCTTCTACTCTATATATGCAGCAGTCTAACATGTGTCACACCTCTAACATCTATGAGATTGCTATCCTACAAACTTTGGAGACTAGGCCTCCTAAATCTTCCCAAACTGCATAAGACAATAAAAGTCCTTGTGCAGATTAAATGGACTTGACTTACAGTAATTACTGTGCAGAACATATTTTTCCACCATAGGAAATCGCTATTCCACATGGAACTTTGGCAGACACAGCTGCTCCTACATTTTTCAAATCATGCAAAAGGAGAAGACTGAAGATTGCAGAAATGAAAATAGGTGAAGAGAGATTTTCACCGCAATAGGAGGTTTGGAGCAGCTGAGTACAGTCCTAGGACTTCAGGTCAATTGCTGGGGAGATGCTAGTGGTTAGATGACAATCATGCAGGACTGTCTCAATGTATAGAGCTTCTTTGTCTCTGCAGAGCGTGCTTGGATAGCCGTACAGTCAGACATAGCAGAAAAAACTAGCTTTAAATGAAGGGAATGAAAAAAGAAAGAAAGAAAATTGCTGCGCTTGTTTGAGGAGTCTTTCTCCTAGTCCAGTTGGATGAAGGGCTGAGAGAAATGGGAAACGCTTACCCATGAACCTGGACATCAACAGCAATTTAGTACAAAAATCTGTTACTTTTGTAATAAAGGGTACAAAAAAATTCCAGTATTTTTTTTCCATTTTCTGCATTTTTCTGCATTGCAGCTTTCACTGTAGTTCTCATCTCTTGATCCTTGCTGTTAACAAAAGCTAGGCTCTCTGCATTGGTAGATTTTTTTTTTCTTGTATGTGATTAGCACATTTTGGGTGTTAACTGCAATACAAAACGATAATGGTAATAATAGCACGAGCAGGTACTTATGATTTATTGTGTATAAGTCCACAAAAAACTTATTCAGTAGAGGGCTGAGGTCTTACTTGGTATGGCCTTTGAGTACATTATAGTAACATTTTCTTTCTTTTGTTTCATACCTTTTGTAAGACATAAGAAGAAACTTTTGAAGGAAATCATCTACACGCATTATAAAAACAGTTTAGTAAATACATATATTCTACACATTTCACATTTACTTTACAGTTTCAGTTTTTTGGGGGTTTTAGTTTTTTGGGGAGGGGGCTTGGATTTTTTTTTCTTTTTTTTTTTTTTTTTTAAAAAAATGTTTCCTGTTATTTATATTCCTTAAGAGACTTGGAAATATACTTTGCTTTGGGACACAATCTAACCTAAAAGTCCAAAAGAGACTGCTCCAAATGCTTTTAAAAAGGAGAAAAGGATATTTGAAATCACTAAACCACTTAACCAGGCAAAGGATCAGTACCTAAAGGGAAGTTTGCAAAGCTGTGGAATACAAGCATCACAGGATTTTTGTTTCTTATTAATACTTTTTTTTTCCTATTAAAAATCTATACCAGCAGGCTGGTGGGACACATCCTCTAATGGCTACCTGAATTTCCCCAGAGCTTTTTGGCACGTCTCTGACTATAGTCTTAATATTTTTCTTTACTACCTTTGAATTACTGCCAACACAGACATGTATGAGAATTGTTTTCAACAATATTCAGACTCTTTTTTTGAAGGCTTGTATAGAAATCAGTGCTGCAAAGTTTC